AGAAAACTTGTGGGGTGACATCAAAAATGCCGTTTCTGAGGAAAAACCAAGAAATAGAGAAGAACTGTGGAATGTGGTCCAATCATCCTGGGCTGGAATACCTGATCACAGGGGCCAGAAGTTGGGTGACTCCATGCAACACAGATGTACAGCAGTTCTCAGAAACAGTGCGACTACAACCAAATATTCATGAAGTCATTCAAAGGAAAGCAAAATCTTCAAACATTTTTCAGTTTATATAGTGAATGTTTGAGTTTGTAAAGAAGAATACAAACACTGCGATTTTTTTTGAACCGTCTAATATTCACTTTTCTTCAATTTTTTTTTTTAGAGGAACAACACAAATTTGATATATTTTTCTTCATGTTTTGATTTGGAATAGAATGTGTCGTGTTCCCAATGCATTTGTGTGGATGGAAATAAAAGCTATTAGAAGGATTTTGAGCTTTATTCACTTTTTTCAACACACTGCTATTATTTTGAACACAACTGTACATCACAGTATTTCAGATCCGCAGCTTCTAATACCACCACCTGCCTGCAGTTTGCATGTTCTCCCTGTGCCTGCGTGAGTTTCCTCCAGGTACTCCAGTTTCCTCCCACACTCCAAAGACATGCTGGTAGGTTAATCGGACCCTGTCTAAATTGTCCCTAGTATGTGTATGTATGGATGTGAGTTAGGGACCTTAGATTGTACACTCCTTGAGGATTAGGGACTGATGTGAATGTACGCTTTACAATGGGTCTCCAAACTTTCTAAATCTAGGGCCAGTTTACTGTTCTTCAGACTTTGGAGGGGCCAGACTGTGGCCACTGGGAGTAGAAAATGTCCTGTCATTGGTGGGAGTGAACAATGCCCTGCTTTTTGTATTAGAGAAATAGTGCCCTGTCTTTGGTGTCAGTGGGAGAAATAGTGCCCCATGGTTGGTATCAGTGGGAGGAATAGTGGCCCGTGATTGGTTTCAGTGGGAGGAGTAGTGCTCCCCTGGTTGGTGTCAGTGGGAGGAATAGTGCCCTGTGGTTGGTGTCAGTGGGAGGAATAGTGCCCAATTGTTGGTATCAGTTGGAGGAATAGTGCCCTGTGGTTGGTGTCAGTGGGAGGAATAGTGCCCTGTGGTTGGTGTCAGTAGGAGGAATAGTGCCCTGTGGTTGGTGTCAGTAGGAGGAATAGTGCCCAATTGTTGGTATCAGTTGGAGGAATAGTGCCCTGTGGTTGGTGTCAGTGGGGGGAATAGTGCCCCATCATTGGTTGACATAAGGGGTAATTATGTCCCATTGTTAATGTCAGTGGGAGGAATAGTGTCTCAAGGGCTGGATCAAGGCAAGCAAAGGGCCACATCCGGCCCTCGGGCCGCAATTTGGAGACCACTGCTATATAAGTAACTGAAATAAGTAAAAAATAAATAAACATACCAAGATCACATTGTAAACAAGTTGCAGTGGCCCAAAACTGTCACTAGATGTCAACATACCACAGAAAAATGATGACCATGTAGTTCAATGCAAGATATAAAAAAGACACAACGAGGCAGAACAGCCTGGCGCTGGCGTCTTCTCCCTGAGTGTTGGTTTTCGACCGTCTTGATCGACCAATGAGGAATGACATGCTCCCACACATGCTCATGGGTGTCATTGAACCCGGCACCATGCCGAGAATACATGCGGAGCTGCACATGGGCAGCTGCGTGTCCCCTCTATACAAGATCGCACGTCTCAGCCGCCGGCTCGCAGTGTTTTAGTTCCATGTTAATGAAAATCTTTGAATCAATAGGACGGTGTCTGGAATGAAAGATCTATAGAGCTACGAGAGCTAGCAATCTGTAATGAGCAACAAGTGGGAGCCTCTTATGCAGGCCATAGACGGGTCAAAAATCGGCCGATTTTTCAGCCGAAAATGAAATCGGCTGATTTTCGCACTGTTAGTGGGTTAATTGGTCGTCCGTTTTTCAGGGTTTTGGCACATTTTTTTTAATCAGTAAAGTTGGAAAAAAATCGTCTGATTTTACCGATTGGCCAATTTTCCTGGCAATGATGGGCAAATTAGCCGATCGTTTTACCGATAAAAAATCTGCGCATGAGCCGTGACCTGCAAGAAGAAGAAGAAGATGAAGAAGAAGAAGAATTCCAGTCCGCTATTATATTTTATATGAAAAGTCTTGCGGTTGCAACAATGTATCTGTATCCGAAAAAAAAACATCTGTATCCGAAATGGATACAAATGGATACAAATAGATACATTGTTGCAACTGCAAGACTTTTTAATGCCAAATATAATAGCGGAGCTCTCTGCAGGGACAGAAGTAATTAAATGCTGACGGGACGAAAATCGGACGATTATTTTTACTATTAGTGGTAAAAATCCCGCCTATTGAACAACCAATTTTTTTTTTTTTTTTAAACGTCCGGTTTTTGACCCGTCTATGGCCTGCATTAGTGTTCGTTGTGGCCCTCGGGATCGATGATAGGATGATTGATCAGCGGGCTGTCGGAGACGCATACAAAACCTGCTGTCCGAGTGCTTCAGGCTAAACAATCTGCCGGGTGACGCCTGTACAGACAGCAAACCAACAGCCCGCTCCCACCATTGTTCCCATACAAGAATGGAGAGTCCACATTCCCCGGGTCTATTACCTCCCAGCTCCAGGGAGAAGAGTTCCCCATCCACAGCCGGCTACTCTCATCGCTTAAAGGAACTGTCCCACCACACAATGATCTTTTGTCAGGGGAGTGGGTGACTACTGTTGGCTTTTTTTCTTTTTTGTCTTGAATGAGTTGTCTGGTCCGGCAATACTCGGCGTATATAATAAAAATGTTTGTTCACATGTGGGCCGAGGATCAGCACTGTTTACAAAGAAGAAGAGTGGGCGGGGTTACGGGAGGCTGTAGCTTTTCACCTCCGGACTTTGTAGGCTTAGGAATAGGAACATGTTCAAAGGTAAAGTCTGTCAGCGTTTATGTAGGTGAATGCCATTTATTGAAGGGTTAGTCTACCCGAAAATGAGATTTCAGTGTTCTGTGGAAGATAGAGAATTAAATCATCTGACAGTCTCTTCTACCTGCTGTGCCCATTATGAGGGGTACCCACCATCCCTGTGCTGAGTGCCTAAGTCTGTACGCCCGCTGTGCCCATTATGAGGGGTTCCCACCATCCCTGCACTGAGTTCCGGGCTCTGTACACCCGCTGTGCCCATTATGAGGGGTTCCCGCCATCCCTGCGCTGAGTTCCCAGCTCTCTATGCCCGCTGTGCCCATTATGAGGGGTTCCCACCATCCCTGTGCTGAGTTCCCGGGTCTGTACACCCGCTGTGCACATTATGAGGGGTTCCCGCCACCCCTGCGCTGAGTTCCCGGGTCTGTACGCCCACTTTGCCCATTATGAGGGGTTCTCGCCACCCCTGCGCTGAGTTCCCGGCTCTGTACGACTGCTGTGCCCATTATGAGGGGTTCCCACTATCCCTGCGCTGAGTTCCCGGCTCTGTACGCCCGCTGTGCCCATTATGAGGGGTTCCCACCATCCCTGCGCTGAGTTCCCGGCTCTGTACACCCGCTGTGCCCATTATGAGGGGTTCCCACCATCCCTGCGCTGAGCTCCGGGCTCTGTACGTCCGCTGTGCCCATTATGAGGGGTTGCCACCATCCCTGTGTTGAGTTCCCAGGTCTGTACGCCCGCTGTGCCCATTATGAGGGGTTCCCACCATCCCTGTGCTGAGTTCCTGGGCCTGTACACCCACTGTGCCCATTATTAGATTTCCCAATGGTGACACCAGTGTACCATGGCTGTTGAAACAGATGCTAGAAGGTTGGTTTATAGAACATTTGCAGAGCTGTGACACTGCATGTACACTCATTCTGTGTGAAAGTTTTTGTTATTTTTTTTAATTCTTCATACAGAATAGAGCAAATCAGGAAAACACCAAATTATGGCCACTAGATGGAGCTGATGATCCTACAATCACCATCGCCATCTAGTGACCATATTGCAGCATTTTCCTAATTCACACATTCCACCTGGAGAGAACATAGCCTAATAACATTCACTCGGCTCCCACTCACCCAGAACAAATGTATATGCATTTTCTTTTTTTTAAAGATACACTCTTTGCAGTCTCCACCCAGTGTGACAACCCAGGGGCACAACTGGGAGACAGGGGCGGAGTGATGTCACCCTAGAACAGTGGGAGGAGCACCAGGTCTTATCCTAATGGAAGCTGCAAGATTTAAAGAGACTGAAAAAAAATGACTTTGTAATGACATTAACGCTTTCACTGCCACCGCCCTATGCCTGAATCAGCAGCGGGGGAGGGGGGTGTGGTTTACAGCCGTAAAGCCGGTTGTCAGGTGGACACTCCGGTACGCTCGTACGCCTTTTCTTTCCTCTAATAGACCGCGAGCGTCTCATTAACAGGAACCTGTCATGGCGAAATGCTATCACAGAGATAAAAAAAAAAAAAAGTTGGGTGGAAAAGAAAAGTGTAAAAAAAATAATAAAGTTACACTCGGGCACTTACACCCCTCCCCCAAAACTCGCACTCGGGAACATGCGTCGGGGGAGCCTACATAGGAAAACGTTTCCTGTGCTGCACATGTTACGTATCGCCACGCATGCAGAAATGGGATCGATCGTTTGACGGCTCGTTATTCCTGGTCACTGAAGACCTGCGGGGGGGTTGCTCTCAGCACAACCCTCATGGGAAACGTCTGCCATCGAACTTTGTGGTGTACAATTTTAACCCCCTTGTGGTGTACAATTTTAACCCCTTGCCCTTCTGGGGATTTACCCCCCTCCCTGACCAGGCCATTTTTTGCGTTACGGCGCTGCGTTACTTTAACTGACAATTGCGCGGTCATGCACCGCTGCAGCCAAATGAAATTTACTTCCTTTTTTCCCACAAATAGAGCTTTCTTTCGATGGTATTTGATCGCCTGTGCGTTTTTTTTTCATTTTTTGTACTTTTAAAAAAAAAAGACCGACAATTTTGAGGAAAAAAAAAACAATATTTTTGGCTTTTTGCTATTAATACCTTCCTGCCCGGTCTATAGCAGATTGACGGCTGGGCGGGACACTCGTCGTTTTGACTGGGTGTCATATGACGTCCTGTCAAAACGAGTCGCCTACTTGGCTGCGGTGCCGTGCAGCAACGCGATCTGTCACCGGCTGTGTCCATGGGACTCGGCCAATGACATATCACTACACCGGCCCATTGCCAGTGTCATGTGACCGCTGTGACCAATCACAGCAGATCACATATCGATTGTATACAATGGATGGCTTCCTGTCATGCCACCCATTGTATACAGTTATGTTGTTAGCTGTGATTGGTCAAAGCAGTCACATGGTACAGACAGGGCCAATCACAGCACATATGTAGGGGTGGACTGACAACTCATGGGGCCCCCGGGCAATAGGGGATCCCCGTGTCATCGCCCACATCCAAAAAAGCCTATTAAAAAGCCAATGAAAGGTACCAGGGGCATCTCTTGGGGCCCCCTACTGACCCCGGGCCCTCGGGCAGTGCCCGAGTGCTCGAATGGTCAGTCCGCCCCTGCCCATATGTATCATGTGATGAGCTTTGCCCGATCACAGCTAATCATAACAAAAGACTGAATTAATCAGTTTCATTCAGTAACAATGATTGCAAATATCAATGAAATACATCGGTATTAGCAATGTGTAGAAAAAAAAAAAAGAAAAGAAAAATCCCGATCACTTGCCCAGAGTAGTTCAATGTTACCATGGTAACACTGTATTGCTTTGGTCACAGTGTGCTGAAAAATAAAATTGTACAAAAAAGAAAAAATGTAATAAAAAAACAATAGAAACGTGAAAAAAATACAAATTCAATTATTATTATTATTTTCACCAAAGAAATGTAGCAGAATACATTTTGACCTAAATTTAGGAAGAAATGTTATTTATTTGCAAAATTTTATAACAGAAACGAAGAAAAGTGCGTTTTTTTTTTTTTTCAAAAGTTTCAGGTGTTTTTTGTTTTGTTTAGCAAAAAATAAAAAACTCAGCGATGATTAAATACCACTGAAAGAAAGCTCTATTTGTGTGAAAAAATGATAAAAATTTCATATGGGTACCAGGGGCGGACTGACAACTCATGGGGCCCCGGGCAATAGGGGATCATGGGGCCCCTGTGTCCTTACCCAAACTCAAAAAAAGCCTATGAAAAAGGTACCAGGGGCATCTCATGGGGCCCCCTACTGATCCTGGGCCCTCGGGCAGTGCCCGAGTTTCCAAATGGTCAGTCCGCCCCTGAGGGGTACAGTGTTGCATGACCGCGCAATTGTCATTCAAAGTGTGAGAGCGCTGAAAGCTGAAAATTGGCCTGGACAGGAAGGGGGTATAAGTGCCTGGTATTGAAGAGGTTAAACATGTCCAGTAAAAAAAATTTAAAAAATCAAATTTCATCATAAATTTCGGCCAAAATGTATTCTTCTCCGTGTCTTTGGTAAAAAAAAATAATCCCAATACGTGTAAATTAATTGGTTTACGTGAAAGTTATACCGTCTACATATGGCGGTATACATACTGGGATTTTTTATTTTTATTAGTAATGGCGGCGATCAGTAACTTATAGCGGGACTGCGGTGGGCATTCTGACACTGGGGGGGAACTGACTTGGTGTCACTGACATCCCCAGTGACACCAATACAGTGATCAGTGCTAAAAAGCACTGACACTGTACTAATGGCACTGGGCAGGAAGGGGTTAACGTGGGGGGCGATCAAAGGGTTAACTGTGTGCCATGTCTGTGTGTTTCAATGTAAGCACACTGCTTCGCAGGGCTCAGCTATGCAGAGCCCTGCAAAGCAGTGTGCAGGAGATGCCAACTGTATTGTTTACAAACAGTTCCCCCTCCCCCATCGGAGATGCTTGGCAATCACCAAGCCGGCGAGCAATCACCGGCCGGGACCCGGTGATTGACAGCCGAGGCCGCGAATGGCGGCGAAGGTAGGGTGCCCGGGGATGCAAACTCTTGTGTATATACATGATTTTGCGCACCCGTGCCGCCCTGTAGCAGTACTTCTGCTATAGGGCAGATAGGAAGCAGTTACGGCTTGACATGTTGGGTATCTATTTACTCGCTGCAACGTCTTCTTTTATATTCCAAAACATGGAGAAAATATTGGCCTGTCCTAGAATGAACTGTAGTGTCGTTGTAGTGAAATTTTGCGTTTGGTAAACCATTGCACCAATTAGTCCAACGGTTTACCAAATACAAAATGTCACTATAACGACACTAAAGTTAATTTTTTGGAAGTTCCAATTTTTTTTTTTAATGTCATATGTGACAAAATTGTATTCCCCAGGGTCTCTGCTTTTCAGAAAATATGTGTTATGGGGGTTTTAAGTAATCTGCATTATTTTATATGTGAACAGAAAACCCCAAACGACTCCAGAAGTAGAACTCTAGGCAGACTTTTTTTTTATTTTGGATAGAGTAAGGGAGGGTTATATATCTCCGGCCAGTTTATTCTTCACAATCTGTGTCCCATTGGGGAGATTGTTCTTCACTTCCTGTCACATAGCCAAACAGGAAGTGAGAGGAAATCCCTGCAAATTAAGGGAATTCCTTGGGAACCCCCAGGTCACCAGAACTAGAGAACTAGTGTCCCCATTGGAAGATTTCCCCTCTGTTACCTTTCTGGGGATGACACAAAAAGCCAGATTTCCTTTTACGATCACTTTCAATGATAATGGTAAACAGGACAAACTGAGAGACTGACTCTTCCTAACAGGGGAGCAGACTGCAATAAAGGCCTGACAGGGGTTGTAATCTCTCTCCATTCCGTCCAAAACTATACAAACGTTTTGCCTTTGGTTATACCTTAAGCTAATTGGGTTTATATATTCTTAGGTAACACTGAGATAATACTAATAATAATAAAAAATGTAATAACACCACCTGCCTGGAGTTTGCATGTTCTCCCTGTGCCTGTGTGGGTTTCCTCCAAGTACTATAATAATTATATTAAATATAATAATAATACAAATGCAGTATTAATAATGATACATATAACAATAAGTATAATAATACGACTGCTAACAATAATACATATATTATTAATGATAATAAAAAATATAATAATACTGCTACTATTACCACTAATAATAATAATAATAATAAAAATAATAATAATAATAAAAATGCAATAACAAGAATAATAATAATAATAATACAAATATCGAATAAACATAACATTACTACTGCTATTAACAATAAATATAATACTACTACTGCTAATTATAATAATAGTATATATATTCTTAGGTAAACACTGAGATAATAATAATAATAATAAAACATATAATAACACTACCTGCCTGGAGTTTGCATGTTCTCCCTGTGCCTGTGTGGGTTTCCTCCAAGTACTATAATAATTATAATATTAAATATAATAATAATACAAATGCATATAATAACAACAAAATATAATAATAATAATACTGCTAATAATAATACATATATTATTAATGATTAATAATAATAAAAAATATAATAATACTGCTGCTGCTACTACTACTACTACTACTACTAATAATAATAATGATAATAAAAAAATGCAATAACAAGAAGAAGAATAATACAAATATCGAATAAACATAACATTACTATTGCTATTAACAATAAATATAATACTACTACTGCTAATTATAATGATAGTATATATATTCTTAGGTAAACACTGAGATAATAATAATAAAAAAATATATTAACACCACCTGCCTGGAGTTTGCATGTTCTCCCTGTGCCTGTGTGGGTTTCCTCCAAGTACTATAATAATTATAATATTAAATATAATAATAATACAAATGCAGTATTAATAATAATACATATAAAAACAATAAATATAATAATACTACTGCTAATAATACATATATTATTAATGAGAATAATAATACAAAAATATATAATACTACTACTACTAATAATAATAATAATAATAAAAATGCAATAACAAGAATAATACAAATATTGAATAAACATAACATTACTACTGCTATTAACAATAAATATACTACTACTGCTAATAATAATAATGAGAAGAAGAAGAATAACAACCATAATAATAATAAAAAAGGAATAATAATGGTAATAATGTTACTGCTAATAACTATAATTATTATACTAATAATACAAATAATAAAACCAATAATAATAAATATACTAATATTATAAATATAAATAAAAAAAAGGAACAATAATGATAATAATAATACTGCTATTAACTATAATAATAATTACACTAATAATACAAATAATAATAATAAATGTACTAATATTACAAATAATAATAAAGAGAAGAAGAAGAATAACAAATAACAACCATAATAATAATAATAGTAATAATACTACTGCTAATAACTATAATAATTATACTAATAATACAAATAATAATAACAATAATAATAAATATACTAATATTACAAATATAAATAATTAAAAAAAGGAATAATAATGATAATAATAATAATACTGCTAATAACTATATAATAATAATTATACTAATAATACAAATAATAAAACCAATAATAATAAATATACTCATATTATAAATATAAATAAAAAAAGGAATAATAATGATAATAATAATACTGCTATTAACTATAATAATAATTATACTAATAATACAAATAATAATAATAAATGTACTAATATTACAAATAATAATAAAGAGAAGAAGAAGAATAACAATAACAACCATAATAATAATAATAGTAATAATACTACTGCTAATAACTATAATAATTATACTAATAATACAAATAATAATAACAATAATAAATATACTACTATATTACAAATATAATTAAAAAAAAAGGAATAATAATAATAATAATACTGCTAATAACTATAATAATAATTATACTAATAATACAAATAATAATAAATATAATATTACAAATATAATAATAATAATAAATATACTAATATTACAAATAATAAATATAATAAAATGTTAGCTCCTGGAAAACACACACAACACTTTTCCTATAACACCCCCAAGCCCATGCCGGGCGGTGAGCGGTATGAGCACCATACCCCCCCCATGTGCTCCTCATACAGGGAGGAATGAGTCACTGGTGGAGGTACAATGCAGATGTATGGGGATGTGTTGTGTCCCTCTAGATTTGCAGTGACGCTCAGTGTTGAAGCTCCAGACAGTCCTGCGTGCTGATTGGACGGTCAGATGGGAATCTCTCAGTAGAACTGGTGCCATTGACGTCTGACCTTTCCTGTCGCAGTTTCCCCACGCCTAGCTCACCAGAAGACCACCTTATTCCTGGATCCTGAGGGGGAGACATTTGTTTTACTTCCTTTGTCTATGAGGAAGGAGCCGAGGACACTGATAAACACAGCAACAGTATCAGTGTTTGGAATGACTCCATGTATTTTTTTTTATCCCCTTGGTGCCAGCCCTTTATGGAGTCCTGAAAGACGGGAAGAGGTGGTGGGCTTCCCGATCATTTGATCACTCTTATTGGCTGTCACAGAAATCGCATGATCGAGTCCCTTGCGCCGGCATCCTGACTAAACGGTGATCGGGAGCTCTCGGTGGACAGCTCGGTCACTGTGCTGTGAATGCACTCGG